AGCGGGAACTTGAATTGTGTGCCTTATCTGCGAGGACGAAAAACCGAATTGCTCTCCATCATAAAGATATGAATGTGTATGTTTGCGAAATAACAGAGGAAAAATAAAAATAAAAAAATACTGCACTGCAAAATTGTCGACCTCGTAGACGAGTAACAACTGATATGAAAAGGTTGATCTTTTYCATTCATATATTATCAGGACTCTCACACATAATATGTAACAAAGAAAGTGYAGTACGAGGAATTGCAGTTGACGATGGCGGCACACGGATACATGACATGTGATTGCGGCCGTGCATTTTAAAGTACACAAGCTATGAACTCACATCGATCACGAGGATGCCCTGCAAGTATCATTGACCTGGCGTCATCATCTAGTGGTGATGAAAACATGGTACCGAGAGGGGATAACAGAGATGATGACCCAACTCTATCAGACATTCAAGGAACCATCCACGCGGGGACAGGAAGTGAACCTTTCAATGAAAATGTTGACGATGATGAATTACACAACGGGGTCGCAGGTCATAATGAAAATGTTATACATTACGACTCTGCACGAAAAATAGCAGCAATGATGTTATCGGCAAGAGGGGGACTAGGATTATCTTTCACAGATATGGATGCGTTATTTCCAATAGTCCGTAATCCACACTTCGATCCTCGCTCGATACCTTTTCGCATAGGAAAAAAGTGTCTACAGTGGACAGGTCGACAAGCAGGGGTTAACGCATGGCAAGAAGTAGATATGAGGAAGGAAGATTGACCACAAGATGCGCACGCAAAGTTGTGGTTCCGTGATTGGAAGACGACATTCTTGTCATTACTAGAACGTGGATTCAGATCAAAGAACAAATTAGTCATAGAAGTTCCGCAGAGACGGATCAAAATAGTCCAATAACAGGTGCCATAACGGCATCGATGTGGAGGCACGTACAAAACACTGTGCGCACAGCGAAGGGGTTGGACATGAGCGGGCAACAAAGGTATGTGGTTCCTTTTTCGTTGTACTCAGACAAAACACATGTGGATGGCAGAATGAAACAAATAACATATCGACTCATGATGTGTGTTGCCGATAGGGCAACAGAGGCCACACTTCTAGCGTACTTGCCAGTTCTGACACACACGCCAAAAGACGCAGGTTGGGGCCAACAATCCTCTCAGTTCAGAAAACGTAAAAGCGTAGTATTCCATGAAGCTCTCTCCATGGTTTTACAGGTTGCTAAGGACGCATCACACGAGGGTGTCGCCGTTCGTACACACGACCTCGGTGAAATTACGGTGCATCCTTTCCTTCTGAACTATATCCAAGATTATCCAGAGAAGTGTGCGCTAGCAGGTGTCAAATTTGGTCGCTGCCCCACCTGCACGGTTGCAAAGTCAGACATGGACATGTACACTGATTTTGAAAGCAGCAACAGATCAGAGGAGTCTGACAAAGTAGTAATACATGACTCCAGAATGTCTTCGACTCCCGACATCCGTCATGCTGCACAGGAGCGTCTTCAAGAGTGGGGATTACACAGATACATTTCCGCGAATGGGTTGTGGGGGTYTTACAAAGGGYMAGAGGGCGACGACCCGTTGATGGATTATCATCTGACACTTCAACCGGATAGGATGCACACGATAGAGCATGAAATATTTTTACATATGATAGATGCCTTTCGTGAGGCCGCAAGAGAAAAACTTCCCGGAACTCCTAACACGGAAATATTAGCAGAACTAGATGCAAGGCTCCAGTGCATAAGCGAACGATGCGTAAACACATATCCAGGACTTGTATTGCCCGTACGCACAGGTAGTGATTTCTTTTCCAGAGAAGGTAGATTTGAGGCGAAGCAGAATCGCTCCGTGATGACAGTGGTCATGTTCGTGGTTCACAATGTAGTGAAGGGTAGAGCAGGGAAGCGGTTGACGAAGTGTTTCTGCAAGCTTATAAAATTTTATATGGCACTTTTTCGGAGGGCGTCACACACAGTAGCTTCTCTCGATTACTCTGACGTATTGTTAGGTGATTTCATGTATTATGTGAAAACGTACATGGGTCGATATCAAGCATCACGATGGAAATTGCCAAAGATGCATTATCTCAACAAGTTCAGGGCATGCGTGGAGCGGTCAGGGCTCCCGGACACATTCGCAGCCGATGTATGGGAGCATCATCATATTACATTTTGCAAAGATCCTTATCGATCATCAAATCGCAGACAGGCTACAACGCAGATGGTAAACCATGTCCGTCGATCTATCGCTTTGCAAGACGAAACAGAATATATACGTCGACAAAAGATCAGGGAAACCGAGAACTGGTCTGCTGTCAGCAATGCCGAGACAAGTGGAACAAACACCTTGTCTGCAAGAAACAAAGCCACACTGCGTTTGAAATGGTTTTCTTTACAGAATGTCTCCGCAAACGCTAGTGAAGGCAGGAGTGAAGAGGATGCATTCACTCTCGAGAACATATCGTATAGAGAGAATTTCAGAGCTGCATAATCAGTATTTTTCAACGAAAATGAATGCCATCCCCCCACGGACGAGACAGTCATCAAAACAAGGACGCACCTTGCAATTGCATGCACCGACGATGGAAGTATCAGGGGATCAATGGTACAAATAGCCAGAGCTTCACCACGGTTTCACGGTCGGCCTGTCCACAGCGATGTATGTGTCAGAGCTGTAGAAGGAGAGCTGTGGTATGCATCAGTGGGTATGTTTTTCGTCGTACAAGGTCAGCGAGGTCAAGAGCAGTGTAATTTCTACGGATACTATAATCGACACTGCACACATAGTTCCATATCTCAAGAAGCCCCAATGGGGAACAGGCCGATTTGTTGTGCGAAAGGAAGACCAATTCTACGTTAATAAGTACACACTCTGACGGATTTCTATGGGTCATTGTATGCTTGAAGGTATAATTCTCATAACTGAGACAATTTGGTATTCTGCACGGTCCTGCATTTCCATATCGGTGCACAGACTTGCTAACGAAGACATACATCGATTCCGCTTTTAATTATCCTCACACTCTTACAATTGCTTGACATGCTAACTGTTTTATTGCACGAGAAGGAAAAAAATCGCGAAACATTGTCAATAGATAATACGTACGAACTTGTGTAGAAAGAAAAATGCTGACTGCTCTCTCTCTCTCTCTCTCTCTCTCTCTCTCTCTCTCTCTCTCTCATCCCGGTGTTTACACGGCGAAACTTCAGACAATACGAAAACGGTGGTCGGCATGTGCGTTATTATATTGTCTACAACCTTATCAATGTGTGTCAAATATCAGCGCACCTGCCAATCCCAGGAAAGCTTCCAAGGGAACTGGCCCCAGAGAAACGCCGACTGCTCTTTTTTTTTTTTTTTTTTTTTTTTTTTTTTTTTTTTTTTTTTTTTTTTTT